GAGACTGGAGGCCCTCGGGCTGCATGTGGGAAGCATGCTATGCAATCAGAGTGACACTGTAATGCTGTCTTTAATGATAGTAATGCACATTTTTATCACTGTATTGCACACTTTAAACGTTGTAATGCTCTCATTAAACACTGTCCTGTTCTGCTCCCCAGGAGTTGTCCTGCACAGTGCAGATGTAGTCCCTGAGACTCAGAAATGTGGCAGGAAATCATTTCAGCATGGTCCACGAATGCCGGTCAGGGCTAGGAACACCCGGGAAATTCAAGAGTTAAGCATGCACCGTAGATCTGCTCGTGGCACAGACTCAGTCCAGGGCTGTCCATTTCCAGGATGGAAAAATGTGGGAAATTTACCCGCACCACCACCCAAATCGTGTGCATGGGCTCGGGAAAAGCAGGCATCATGCCACCTCAGAAGCATTTTTCACAACAGAAGAGATGGAGAGATTCAGCTAGAAGCAGAACCACACATTCAGGAATACACAATTATTTTTTTTAAACCGCTACTTTGCGAGGTACATCTCACCAAATATGTAAAAACAAAACGTCCCATCAGGGAAGGTGAACCACATTATTTGCGGTGTCAGCATTAAGGAAATCACTGACAAAATCTACACAAAGACAAAACCTTCCCCGTGCTGGGGAAGAATCCAGAGCCCGCTCTGGATTTCTTACGCGGCTTGAAACATCAACCTTCACCACTCAGCTGGCTGGAGGGGGAGAAAATCCAGAAGCTGTATTTCCAGGGAACAATGTGCTTTGGAGGCAGGGCTCCTGAAAGAAAGACACCTGGAGGACACCAGGCAGCTCACAGGCGCTGGGAACAGGCGGTGCGGTTTTGGACGGAGTACAGGAAAGCATAAGGACACGGGCGAGGGCGGTGAGCATCTGCCTTGGGTTTGCAGGAAGAGTGATACACGGGAAGGAGCTCCAAGACTCCACGGCTGGAAGAATCGGCAGGCTGGAGGATTTACAGAAGAGAGGGAAAGGAATTCTGACTGTTTTAAGTACCGCAGAGTCAGTAAACTGAGTGGGGAAACACCAGTGATCTGTAAATGTCTGAATGAAGCAAGTGGCATCAAGGGAGAAGGCTGGGGGTACATTAATGATTTTAATGGGGTGAAATTACAGAAGGGCATGTCTAAGCTGAGAATCCGTGTGGAAAGCTTTTGAATGGAGAGCCACAGGCTGGAAAATCGTCTCCCTAAGGGAAGTGGTGAAAGCTTTATTGCCTGAGATTTTAAATGCCAGATTAGGGGAAATACCAGGGGACTCATTCTGAAACATCAGAGAGATTGGGTTGAAAGATTAGGAAGCGAATAGGAAAGGCTGGAGGTGGTGCTGGCTCCAGGAATTTTGGGAGTACAGCCCAGCACATCTTCTAGGCTCCTCTGGCTCCATATTATCACTCTCTGACTGTGTTTGCCAAGAGTGCAATGATTTCAGCGTTAGTTACCCCACAAGGACGTGATAAGAACTCCTCCATCAGGAAGAAATGTGGTTGAGCAAAGGGAATCTTGGCGCTTCCCCAAGGACAATGAGAGGAAATCAGCTCAGTGCTGGAGCACAACCCTGAGCCACATTCTCTTGTCAAAGTAAAAGCTGGTTGTGATTTTGCCTCATAAAGGTCTTCCAGGCCCTGCTCTGTCCCTGCTCCCTTCTCTTCCCCAGCCCCAGGCCAGAAGTTTCCCTCTGGCTGCAGATTGAAGAATGACTTTTCAAAAGTTCATCTCCAAGGCATCCATAGGCACATTGCTAACCCTACCCTCTGCAAAGGAAGCTTCACTTTCCAAGCAACATTAAACACCTATTTTCCAAGTCTCTGAAATCACAGATGTGCTGCTGATACCCAGCCAAGCCATCCCCCTGCTTCTCTTGAGGTCACCCAAGCTCCCCTGCAGCCACAGCAGTGGCCAAACAGGGAGCATGGAAAAGGTGTCCAGAACCACCAGTGTTCTTCCATCCCCGAGGTACAGCTAGCATCTCCTTGTGAAGGAAAAGAAATAAAACATTTCCTCTCTGCTAGGTTTTATCAGCCAACATAATCCAATTAACCAGCACAGCTGCTTCATTAGCATTAGAGGCGTATTTATCAAGGGGCTAGAGAAAGCATTTATTAGATTAGTTTGTCATTTTGGAGTTGCTGGATGTTTTTTTTACTAGAGTTTACACAGTTCAGGACAGTGTAGTGCTGAAGGACTTCAAGGCAGAGGGAGGCAGCACCATGTCCTCCCATGTAGGTGCTAGCTGGCAAAGACAGAAGGAATCATAAGTCTTACTTTAAACACACTCCAATTGGTAAAGCCTCTGCTTACTCACATAGGAGTAAATTAGGAGAAATATTTGTGTAGGAGAAATATTTGTCAATTGGAGGAGCAGAAACACAGCCGAGTATTGAAATTCTTCAGAGAAGTGAGCATTTAACAAAATAAGAAATGTTTCTGAAGTTAATTGAAGTTACTAAGAGTGACTGCCTGCTTGGAGGCAAAGTGAAGGATTTCCTGAAAGGTCACACAGACCAGGATCACTATTGTTTCACTGCTGACCCTGTACTTTAAAAATTCAAAGAATAGCTTAGAAATACAAAACACTTCCCAGACCTTTAAGACCTATTCAGTTCTAAATGTAATTTGAAAGATCTTTTATACACTTACCATTTGACACATAAAATTTTGCTTATAAGTACCCAGAACAGCACTGAGTATCAAGATATTTAGAGTGCTTTACTGGAGACCGTACCAAATACAACCAACTTACTTCTAAAATAAATCTTGAAACTTTTAATATTTTTAGTTACTTTTATTCAAAGTTCCATCTTAATATCTTACATCTACCAAAGGATATGTACAGACAAAAGAAGATTTTTTTTTTATACTTTCAGTCAAAGGAAGACTGGAAAAGAACCACAATGAAATGTTTGCAACAGATGGAATATTTCTACAGTACTAGCCAAAAGATATAGCCAAAAGAGATTCCATCCACACCTTTTGATTGAAGGCATTTTAAGTAAAAAGATACATATGTCAGCTTAGAAGCCCTAAATTTGCCTGATGGATTCTACATTTTTCTAGCATTTTACTTTAATTATTCTTGGTTTCGCATATAAATGTTTTCTTTTAAATAGATCCACAATAGTTTGCTAGTTTGCAGATGATATTTTTTTTCCTAAAGCAGTTATTATTTTGCATATTGGCCTGATGAGAACAGTATGCCAATTTGTGATAAAATGTGTATGAGTTTTCACTTGAGGCTGAGCCCCATTTTTCACAGCTAGTTCATAATTTTAATTCCTCTATTTTTTTTTTTTTTGTTGTTGTTGTTGGGTTTTTTTTGAGGATTTTTTGGTTTCTTTTCTGGTGAAATTCCTCATGATTTCCAGGTGGAGGAATTGAGCACAGAGCAATAAAACATGAACACCTTTTTGCACATTGTTGGGAAAATGCAGTCTGCAGCTCAGCCTGGCCCTGCACCTGCTCTCATCTTGCAGGTGTTAACACAGGTGTCTCCAAAACTCAGTCTGAGAGCTCAGAGTGGAGCAGGTGATGGACCCTGCAGGGACACTGAAGCAGCAGAGGCCTCCCCACCCTCATGTCCCTCTCAGTTGGATGATTATTATGCAACAGCCAAAGGTCCAGCTGGCAGCCACCCGCTGTGACCCCCGAGGAAACATTCAGCAGCTGCCAGGGCAGAGGGGGAAGCCCAGAATCAGGGGTTTTCTCAGCCAGCCTGGTGCGCTCCTCTCTCAGCAGGACTTCAGCAAGCTGCTCCTCCTCTGGCATCCCATCCCCACCTGGGAAAAGCTGGTCTGTCCCAAAACACCATAAGGAAAGGGCTCCCCATGCAAAACCAAAGAGCTAAGAAACCTTTCCAAAGGGCTCCACAAATCTCATTGATTTGCCTTTTCCCCGATTTCCATCACGAGCTGAGCAGTTGGACCTGACAGCTGTCCTCTGATTTACGCTGCATGCGCTGGGGACGGCTCAGCTGTGACACACGGCTCGGATGCAGCTGCTGGGGATTTTTTTTTCCCCTGCTTCAGTTTCCAGTGCTAGGAAGCAACACGTGGCTGTGTTTGGGCAGCTCTCCAGACAGTCTGGCCCTGCTGCTCTCTAGATTCAGGCTCTTCACATGCTGTGAAATAGCAGCAGCCGGGGAAGCGGTGCAGCTGCTCCGCAGGCATGGGGAGAACAGCCCCAGGCTTCACAACCAGCCCAGCACTTCACGATGAGGTGGAGCTATGGAAGCGCCACGGTCCCCAGGAAATCCTCCCAAGCCTGGAGTTATGGTTACATGTGTGAGATAAAGTCTGCTAATCTTAGCCAATTAAGTCTTGAGGCTCTCATTAAGAATCAGGGCTGGTAGCACCCTCAAGCCCTCATCTTTCCCATCTTTGTATCCCAAAGCATGATCAACACTCCCTCACATTTAAAACACTCAAGCAAATAATTTCTAACCTGCTTTTAAGAGCTTCCAGTGATTAAAATTCCTTAATTGCCAGGCTATGACCTCCAGTGCCTTAAACTGGCTTTCTTACACTATTCTTTGATGTCTACCCATCCATGTTCTGATGTCTTCCAAGACTACAATTTCACCTACCACAACAGGAGAACCAGGTTATATTCTTGTTCTTTCCAGGTTCAAACACTATTCCCATGGCTTTTGTGTGGGTTTTATTCATAAGCAGTAGTTGTACCTGTAATCATACCTGCACTACGATGCCTGCTCCAAACTTCACATCAGCTACCTCTTGAGGTAATTTCTCTTGAGCCAGTTTAGCCCATGAATTTTCCACTTGCTTTTGCCCATGCTTCCTACCCCAGAAGGAGATAAATATCCCCAAAACTAAGGCAACTCACCCTTTCCTCACAGCTTGATTTAAACACCTGGAACTAAACTCCTTTTGCTGTATGAAAGGGACTGGAGATTCCCGTGGGTAGTGGCCCTCTGAGCATCCCTCAATTCTTCCCCATCAAAGAAAAAAGAGGACAAAGATCACACTTGTGGTATTTTATTGACACCAGTGTAATTTTGAATCTCTCTTCCTGCAGATCAGTGGAAAACCAACTTTTGCACTGAAGAAGCAGCTGTCATGGCCATAATCTCTTGCAACTCCAATTGCAAACAGATTGTCACTGAGAGCACCACTATCTGCCTGGATGCTTCCCAGGACGAACAAGCCCATGCTCAATGTCCTCAGGTGCTACCACTATTTCCAGATTTTACTTTTTCCCAATCAACAGGAGATGTGCTGATTTTCAGCTTTGGTATCAAACAGCTTCTAAGAGCTGGAGTGGGCAAAACGCTTCTGAAAGTGCGTAAGGCTGGTGTGGTGATGGCATGGAAGTAACAGAGCTCAGGGAGCCCTCATGGAAGATGACATTTGAGGTAGAATTGTTAAGGTCAATCTGACTTCAAAACCATCATGTCCTAGAATGGTTCTGCAAGATCTAGAAAGGTCTTACTGTGTGGGTTTTTTTGTTTTAAAAATATACCTGCACTATCCACAGAGCTGCTTTACAGGTGTGTATCACAGAGGAAAAAATAACTTGTAAAGACAAGAGGAAGTGTGGAGGTTATTTAATGAAAAGTAGGTGAAGTTTACAAGCACAAGGCCAACACAGAGAAGAACACAGCAGGAAACTGCCAAGGTACAGTAAGAATTCTGAAATGCATTGCTATGTACAAGGAGGCAACAGAAAGAAAAACATGTTCCACATAGGCCACTTGAGGTGAACTGGGGCTTGCTGGGCTATGTCTTCTCAAAAGGCAGAGCCTGGACCTCCCTCGTGAACTCTTCTTCCAAGGCTTGCTACCGGGAGAGAAAACCAAGAGGAATCAGGGACCACGAGACAGTTTCCAGACACTGCTGGTAAACAAACACATCTGCAGTGACCAAACCCTGGGAGGCTGTCAGCAGTGATGGCTTAACCCCTGTGCTGAGCTGGATGGATGTGTCACTGCAAAGGGCAGACAGCCACAGGGAAACCTCCAAATGAAGGGCTGGGCAAGCTCAGATGCCTTTACTCTGTGCACCAATGTGATTTTGGACACCTCCCAGCTCACAGGTCCTCCCCAAAGGCGAGCATTCTGATCTCAGAACAGTCTCAGGCTGGGAAGGGGAGCTTATACTCCTGAATCAAAAATAAGTGGCGTACCAACTCCGGCAGTCTCACCTGAAAATGTGCAAAATACTCTCACCTCCCTGTGATTTTTGATCACAGGTTTAAGACTTCCTACTTGTGCTTTATGAGCAAGCAGGCAGTAGCCCAAAGGAATGAAAACATGTTTTATGGGGCTCAAACATGGCCCAGCTCACTCAGGAAAGCTATGTATGAACTTCCCAAACAGCTTTATGGTGTTTGGCTCAACAGCCTCATGGCAGATTACACAAGCATGGAGGAAATGGGCACTTTGTTTTACAGGGGAAGGTCCCCATTGCAGTCTACAAGGCAGCTAAAATTGGCTGTTGACTAAAATATGGTCCCTGGAACCCTCTCAGAGTTCAGGAGGAGCAAGGAAGCTTTTGAGACCCACACTGAGTGAATAATCATTCCAGTGAGCAAAATTCATGGTGATATAGCTACCTAATCCACACTGTGCCCTACTGCCTTTGCAGCTCAGACATCACTCCACCAGCTCCCCTGATCAGTACCTACAACTTCTGCCTCACCAAATTTCCCTATGAGAACATTAAGACTACAGTCTAAGGTGGGTAAATCCGTAATCAATAAATACATGTAGCTCCAGAAAAGATAAAAAAAACTCTTACAAGTTCTTTTCTCGCTTCTTCAACCTTCACTCGTGCCAGGGGAATGCTCTAATGAGAGAAAACGGCATAAAAATCAGTTTTTCACCAGGAAACAAGAGTCCCTGCACCTTTACAAGAATCTAATGATGAGCCTCAGGTGAATTAATGGACAATTAATGCAGTTTTATCTACACACTTCACATGCAGAAGGTTGCAGAAGTTTTAACTGCCATTAAAAGCCTAGTATTAGTTTGGTTTGGGCAATCATGTATTTTTCAAAATGCTGCAGGAGGGAACCAGAGAACCTACTCCCATTTGAACTTCCTGTTCCACTTGAGGGAAGGAAGAAGCTGCCTCTTGGAGGAAGATGGATTAAACAGAGCAGCAGTCCCACCTTTCTACCCACAGCCTTTTTTTTTTTTTTTCTAGGAACAAGACATCGGTGTTTGTATGAGGGAGATAAGAAACTTGCATTTTCATAGAGCTGAATACCCAGCACCCTCAAGAGAAATCAAAGAAAATGATGGAACAGCCAGTTTAGGGGACAAAACCTACATTTGGCTATTTCTTCAGGATCCTAAAAATCCTGTTCAGAGCTCCAAACTCTGCACCACGTGCTGTGTCCACCATACTGACAGCCCAACGACAGTTACAGCTAAAGTACTGGTAAACCTCAAAAAGTTGGTTAGATTAGGGGATGCCTTTTCATCTGTATTTCTTTCTCCAATTTCTAGATAATTCACCTGAATACTAATTTACCCAGCAAATCTGTCTACTTTGTTAGAACAAAGTTTGCCTGAAACAGAAACTTAATTTCTTGGCTTTGATTAATAAATAGAGATTAAGTCTTTGGTTTGCATCATTAACAGACCTGTAGGATATCTACCTGTCCACCAAAACCATCACAACTATATCCTTTACATTCTGAAGTCCACTAAAATTAACCTGATGGCAAATACAATATAACAGTGGCATAAATAGTTACAAGAGGTAAATCATGGTAGGATGCCACTTCATTCTTCAATGGCTCAATTTCTTTCTCCAGTGCAGCCAGTTCCTGTAGAGAGAGCAAAGCAGACCATATTATAGGGAATTACTTGTAGAACTGATGGAAATGAGTGAGATGGATCCACAGTTATCTACAGCATTTCAGTATCTGAGAGCTTTCATCCTGTATAAAACACATGTAAGACTGAAGTTTTGCACATACAGCAGTAAAAAGATTCTCCCTTATGCTTATCAAGGTGAAGCAATTTCTCTCTGGGGCTGCAAATTAAGTACCTTCCACAGTTCTGAACTCTTTTCAAATAATGCAAGTTAAATAAAAAAGATTAAGTCATTTGTGCTGTCCATTTCACTGATGTCTTGGCAAAGCAGTTCTATAAATGTCAGAGTCAAACCTTACCTTATGCTTGGGCTCTAGAAGATGACAAGCTTAAAAAATTTGCCTGTGGCTTTTTGGATGCAAAATTCCAACAAAAATTAGCTCTGGTCAGTACCCTCCGGTAACACTGGGCAATGTGAGCACTGCCACCCAGTGCTGATTGGTGAGAACCACAACAGAGAAAACAGGAAAACTATTTTCACTGCTCCACTTGGAAACACAGAGAAAAATATAGCTAAAGTAATGAGGAGAAGACTGAATTCCCAGTACATTAATAGCAAAAATGAAGATGTGTTGAATGCATAGCACAAAGCTGTAAAATGAGGAGAAGACTGAATTCCCAGTACATTAATAGCAAAAATGAAGATGTGTTGAATGCATAGCACAAAGCTGTAAAATCTGTAGTTACTAACTCAAGAAATGTGCTTTTTCTTTAACATGTGTTCTACTAGGCCTACCATACAGTTGAAAAATGTTACATTTAAAGACACAACAAAAAAATTAGCACTCAGTGGTTCAGAATTTGGGTTTCATTTGTCCTTATCCCCTTGTTTTGAAGTGTTTTGAAGGGATTTATTTCACACAAAATAAAAAGACTCACATGAGTCATTCCATCAAGAAACTGCAATACACAAGTAGCCATTGAATGGGATATAGTCCACAGAATATCCACTCTGTTTATAACACAGTCCAGAAATAAAGGGTGCAGATCTGTTTTCAGTGGCAGGGAGTTTATTCTGTGGAAATTCTCCAGTAGAATGTCTACCCTCTAGGAGAATGTACACTCTCTAGGAGACACAAACCCACCCAAAAGAGCCCAGTTCATCTACAGGTTCAATCCATCCACAGGATTTGTATTTGTACTTCCTTTGGCCATTAAGATTTGTTCAAGCAACCAAAAAGCAAGCTACAACTCCTGAAAGCACCCAACAAGCAAGCCTGGCCTGTCCCACTGTAAAAACATCCCTCTTGTACCCAAAAACCTACCTCAGATGATTTCATGAGTGCCTCATGTGTCAGGGATTGGTCCATCCCCATGGCAACAAGCTTTTCCTGGGAAGAGGAAAGGTCACAAAGTGCAACAAGAAGGAGAAAGATTTCACCATTTCCTTCTGTTTTTATCTAAACAGGCAGAGGAGAACACAGGTCGTCCACGGCAGAAATGTGTGGCAATTTGAGCCACAACTATAGCTGGTGTATAAAATGAGGTGCTGCTAAAATTTGTATTAAGAATAACAAGTCTTTTCAGAAGAGTAGTGGGAGAAGGGCACATGGCAAGGCTGAAGAAAGGCTTCTCAGGAAAATGTCAACTGTAATACAACACTTTTCATTTCGTATTTGTCAAGGTATCAGACAGCATCCAAGCATTAAATGAAGCATTCACATGTCCTTCATCATTTAGGGAAGGTGAAGGAGCAGGCAGTACAACTTCTGCTTTCTGCATTTGGTCATCCTTTCTTTTCAAAAAATGGGTCATATTCATTATTTTGAGACACAATTTACCACAGTGAATCAGCTGCTTTCTGTGTTCTTTTGTAGGACAGTAGCTCACAAGAACCACCAGGTAATCCCAGCTAACAGAGTTTCTCAGGGAATGAGGAGAGAGCACTGTACTGATCACAGGATATGCTGAGAAGAGATCAGCAGGGACAACTGAACACTGGACTATATTTACACATGTTGTCCTGTTAGTCCAAGAGTCCCCAGTCCTGGAGTTTAGGAAGCTTATGGAATGTCTCTGTAACTACATATTTGGGCTCAACAAACCACGGCTGTATCATCTCATTGCAGTGTCTTGTAGGAAAATTTCTTCCACCTACCTCAGCATCACTGATCCTTATTTTTAGATCCACAGATTTATTTTCCAGGAACTTCAAATCCTTTAATTGAATCTCAGCTTCAGCCTTTTCTGCTTCCTGTGATTCTTTTAATTTTTCAATATCCCTTAAAAAAATACAAAAATAAAAAACTGTTACATTCAAAGATATATCAGTATACAAATACTGTTACTTACTTACGCTCAGGCTAAACCCTGCAATACAACCAACACGAGAATGAAAAAAAATGGAGAAAACCTCATATTTCCCTGTGAGATTTTCCAGTGGAATCATATACAGCTGTTACTTTCAGAACCCCACAGACCAGGGAAAAGAGTGGGAAAGGGGAAAGCCATTAAGCCTAAAAACAAAGGGTAATAGTATTGTGCATAGTTCTCTGACTCACTTGGAGACCTGTTACATGAGTTAAACCTCAGATCAAGAGGAGGCAAACCTGCACAAAGCACATGGGAATCTCTTCTACAAGTCAAACTACCACTTTAAAAGAACAAAAATCACCCCACAAATAATTAGACTGGAAGGGAGATGTGGACAGCATCTGGGCCAACCTCCACTCAAGGCTGCAGTTGATCTTGCTGGCAAAGCACTTCAGATTATATCCTTCAGGGAACGGACTTGACACTGATTTTTTTTTTTAGAGTTATTACTATTATTACTATTATCTCCTACACAGTGGTTAAGGGAACTTCTTACCTGGGAATGGTTTTTGTTTTGCCTCCCTCAGTCTGACTACAGAGCCCATGATAAATGTGCTGAGCAGATCAGATCTGTCTTCAGCCTCAGACAAAAGCAACTGGTGGAAGGTGCAAACTCGTATCTGAAAACTGCTTGTAGATCACTTTTGCTTTAAAATAATGGGGTTTGGTGCTTTCCCAGATCTCTTTAGATTACTGAAAGTATCCATAACACACGGGTTTTGATAGATACTTCCAAATACTTTGAATTGGAGATGTGTCAAACCCTCAAAAATTCAGTTACCCTTGTTAGTTATCACAACCGATGTTGCCCAAGACAGAGATCACTGGTATTACTTTAATCTTTCCCTCTTCCTCATCTGTTACTCACTCCTCTAACTTCTTTTCCAGCACCAGTGCTGAAGTTAGCTTTTTTGTGAGGGTGTTCAATTCCAGTTCCAGTTCTTCGTTTTCTGATTTTGTTTCATACAATTCTGAGGTCATGTTATTGATGGCACTGTAGAAGCTGGTGAAGAGAGAATCAGTGTGAATGCTTAGGAGTAGGCTTTTCTGAAAGTCACAGTTATTGTTATTCCTCTCTGCACACTACATGAATGACTTCATTTCCTCTTGATGTTATGGAAGGAGTAAATTAAAGTAAGACATTAATGGAATTTGATTTCTGTAACTGACACAGATTTCCACATGGAAGGGAAAACAGCCCAGCAACCTGAGTAAGTGAACAAAAACTGGCACTGTGATGAATAAAACCACTGGGTTTGAAACCACCATGTACTCCACTCCCAGCTTGCTCCACTGCCCGTGAGAGAAACCATATTCAGTCCCTGAAGATACATGGTCACAAGGTGTGCCCAGCAGCATCCGAGTCCCTTCCTCTTCCCAAGTGTCCCAAAGTTCTTACCCCTCCAGCTCAGGAAGAGAGCTGTAAGAATCAAGATCCTAAATATCACATAAAAATTGGATTCCAAGGCAGATTTTGCCCCTTCTTTGCTGCAAGTGCTGCAGTGTCATGGGCCAAAGCCATGCTAGGGAGAGAGGTCCAAGGAGACCAGACTCACAGATGCCATTTCTCCATGGCAGAGGGAATCTCCTCACATGAACTGAGGCCAGGTGAGATAGACAAGCATGGAAGACCAGTCACAGTTCCCCAGTCTCTGCTTAAGCAGTATGAACACTGCTTGGGGGATCTGGCACAACAGTCCAAATGGTAGCAGCCTGCAGCCACTGACCACAAAAGCATGAAAAATAAAGGAGAAATTTAACTCCATCCCAGCCCTTCTCAGACTTCAGAGTATTCCTGTGCTGGGATAACCTAGATCTAGCATGTGGGAATATAGCTAGAAAACAGGACCCAAAGTACTACTGAACTCATTACAGAAGTGGAAGTGCTAGCTTCAATGGACCACAAGCCCTGGCAAGCTAAGGCAGAACCCTGAATGAGGAGGAGATAACAGTGTGCTTGGTATGCTTTGTTTGAGACAAATCATGCAGGACTGTTCATGTCTGTGTAGGGCTATGACTTAGCAATGCTACTAAGAAACATGATTGTTGCTAATTTTAGCTGTAGCGGAAAAGGTGTAAATACTGAGCTTTTGGAATCAATAAATGGCTTCACTGATGCAAATAATGGAGACTCTGTCTCATCAATTGCCCGACACCAGCACATTGTGTTCAGTTCCCATGCACCCCAAAGCTGCCCAAGGGGTGAAAAATAAGCCTGACATGTAAGATTCCTAGTGTCAAGTTTGAAGCTGCTGATGTGAAAAAACAAAGGAAAACAGCACAGACCATTACCATGAATGCAGAGTGTGAAGCATTACCTGGTAAGAGACGTGTCCTCCACGTTGAGATCCAGTGCACTTTCTACCAGATCAGTGAGGTCTTTGTTGGCTTCTAGGGACAGACTGCCTTCAGAGAGACCCAAGCTTTCTCCAAGAATATCCTGCCAGTACTTAGCTGGAAAATATACACAACCCAAAGTATTGATTTTTTTTAATATTACTTTTCTTTTATGGAACTCTCCAAAGCTAGAACCCAATCCCACACCAGGAACTTGGCTACCTACCTGTTGTGGAGGGAAAAAGACACTTTAAAAAAAGGCTTAAATATGCCCAACTGTTGCCACATATCCATTTGTCAAACAAATTCAGTGTATAATGGAGAAAGCACTACTCCACTCCCTCCCTAACCAGCCTGTCTGACATCAGGCAAACAAGAGCTCACCACTGCGCTACAGCAATGAACACATGCTGGTCATCTCCCCACAAAGCTCAGCCTGAGCCTTGTTCATGGCAGACTGTCCTGGGGTGGCTTTATGATGCTTGTGCCTCCAGTTTCCTGGTTTATGTTACATATTAAGTTCTGCACCTTTAAGACTGGCTCTGAGAGCGAAGTGGGGGAAGAAGAAGGGCATAATTTGTGTTGAGGAAAAACATCACTCCCCCGCATCCTGCTCCTGGACTGCATTGTCTGCAGCATGGACAGACAGTGGGACAGAGCTTTTCTTTTATTGTTAGTTAGTTTTTAGCTAGCTGAGGCAGAGGAGTTCCCTGATTTTTCCACTTCTCTCCAACGAAATCTCTTTTTCCTAAACCAGTTGGCAGAGGGGCTGTTTGAATTTTGCTTTTCTGGGGGAACCCCATTTGGAGGTTCTCTCCTAAATTTGCCCTAAACCAAGACACAGACCCAGGAAGTCTGTCTCCACCTTTTTTTGTTTGGTGGCAAGGCACTTGAAGGAACAAAAAACCAAACAAGTTTTCTTACAAAAAACACCTTCATGTGTACTATGCCAGCCTTTACAAAGAAAAGTAAAATTCCTTCCTGAGAAAAGCCTGGGAAGGGACAGTCCTTTATTATGTATGCTAAAAACATACTATGGTCCCCTGAATAACTCACTTGCTCAAAAAAAAAAATCCAAACAAAACATAAAATAGTCACTCTAGGCAGCTTCAGCACAACTTAATCACCTTGATGTTGTTTCAGGTTCCTCCAGGGAGCCTCCTCCTTAACAGTGGCTTAACACCAGTTCAGATCCTTGAATGAGCTGCAGAGACAATTCCCTCTCTATCCAGGCAATATTTCCATCCTGTGCTATCCAGTCCAGCTGACTAGGAGGTTTTAGCAATTAACCTGTTTGTCCACATTTATGACCGACTTAAGATGGTTTAAAAAATTGTCCTTGACCAATCTCATGTCACAGTAAATTTAACTGAAAGGAAGGTGTGTGATGCATTATAGTAAAAAGTGCATCAGAAAAAAGCTGAGTCTGTTTCAATTACATATTATTTTATATATTCCTAAGTTTTTAACAAATACAATCTTCAGGATCAGTCAGAAATGCCTGGCTCTGATGGAACTGAGAAATGAACCTTCAAACTCACCACCTTCTTCGTATTTGGTTGCCCGGTCCTTCATGTCCTCTATCAGCAATGTAACATCCTTGTCTCTCTCTTCATTGAACTCCATAACTTCATGCAAAATATCCACTGTCCTTTCATTCACCTCATACTCTGGAATAGGCATATCCCCATATATTTTCTTTAGCCATAAGGTAACCTGCGAGAGAAGGGAGACGAAAGACAGTCATGTGAAATGACAGAAAATAGCTGATAGATGCAAAAAATGTAAACAAATGCAAACTCTGCATTCTTGAAGGGTACCTCCTACATCAATCCAGGAAGCATGGGTGGGAAAAGGGAAGAAAAATTCCTTTCCCTCTTTTTTAAACATATTCTGTGGTCCAGAAGACTATATTGTATCTCTTTTAGTCTCCCTCATTTCTTTGTACACCTACTTATCTCCATGTGATAAAACTGTTTATTTTTATTCACATAACCTGTTGGTTACAGACACAGCAATAAACCAAGAGATGTTAAATGGGTGTTTGGAAAACTGGTGAATGCTGTGTTAAAGCGTGTGAGATAAAAGTGTCCAAGCCATCACTGGGAACAGTCTCTGCAGGAGAGTGGGAGAGAGTCACCACAATGTGCAGGCATGAGCCTTGCAAAGCAATTTCATCGGAAACAAGGTCAGAAATAAGAGATCAACACAGTGCTCTCACGTAGGGCTATGATTCTGGAATCATAGAATTGTTAGGGCTGGAAAAGCCCTCCAGGATCATCAAGTCCAACCATTCCCCAGCACTGCCCAGGTCACCACTGACCCATGTCCCCAGGTGCCACACTCATACAGCTTTTAAACCCCTCCAGGGATGGGGACTGCACCACTGCCCTGTGCCAGGGCAGGGCAGCCCTCTGAGCGAAGAAATTTTTCCCTAATATCCAGCCTAATTAAAACAGAAAGATTAGATTGTGACCAATAATAAATGAAGAACATAGAAGTGTTAAGACCATAAACTCTTACATAAACATGCCTAATAAACCTGGCAGAGAATGGAAGCAGCCGTACAATTTTAAAAGTTTGTGGGTTTTTTTTCCCTAGCATCTCTTTCCTCATCCCGCTGCCGTACCCTCTCCTCAGCGACCTACACAAGCAGCAACGGAGAAAACCACCGCACGCTTCGGCGCAAACAGCACGAAAGATATGTGTGTGTGTGTGTGCGTAGGGAAACAGTGATGAGAGAAAGCGAGCCCCGCCGGCCCCTGTTACCCGTATGAGCTTCTCCTCAAAGGGATCGCGGGCTTTCTCCGGCGCCGCCGCTGCCGCCATGCCGCCCGGAGCCTGACGGGAGCGGGCGCCTGAGGGGCGGGCCGGCGGGCGTGGGGTACAACGGAGGTGGGAAAAATAGTCCTGAGAAAGCGTTTAAGGGTGAATTGGAACGCTAAACAGTCTGAATCGAGTCGTCTCTTAGTTAAGGGAATATGTTAAGAAACGCCAAGCGAACCCAAACAACAGCAAAAAGAAACATAAGAGGATGCAAGAGGAAGACAGCGATAAGTACGGCAGAAAGTCGTCTGGTGGTGCTGGTGCCAGCGGCTGGACAGGAGCCCAGGGGTGCCCAGGTGGGCAAGAGGCCAGTGGCCCCTGGGCTGTGCCAGCCAGGTGTGACACAGCCCCAGGGCAGGGCCCGTCCCCTGTGCCGGCGCTGCTGAGGCACCTCCAGTGCTGGGACAGCTCTGGGCCCCTCAGCACAGGAGAGACACCGAGGGGCTGGAGCGTGTCCAGGGCAGGGAACGGAGCTGGGGAAGGGGCTGGAGCCCCAGGAGCGGCTGAGGGAGCTGGGAAAGGGGCTCAGCCTGGAGAAAAGGAGGCTCAGGGGGCCCTTGTGGCTCTGCACAAGTCCCTGCCAGGAGGGGACAACCGGGAGGGTCAGGCTGTGCTGACAGGGAACAGGGACAGGAGGAGAGGGAACGGCCTCAGGCTGGGCCGGGGCACGTTTAGATCGGGTATTCAGAAAATTGTTTTCATGGAAAGGGGTGTCAAGCCCTGGCCCGGGGGAGTGGTGTTTTTTGGGGGGTTTTTTGCGGTTTTTTTTCAGGCACTTTTACAGAAATTGAAGTGATTTCCGAAATAATCAGCATGGAAAGAACTGCTGAAGAATCACATTTGGTACAACACATGCCAAAATAGCTGAGGATTTTTCAAGTAACCTTTTAAATTCCCAGAAGGGGAATCCACTGGAATCTGTGGCTTTACTGACCTCTCTGGATTACCAGAGGGACCAATCACACTGTGTCTGAGTTTCAGCACTTTCTCACTGGCTGACCAAATCCTCACATATGGGACATAAAATCACCCCCAGCTTCAAACTGAGGGGTGAGGGGGGATTCTGCCCCTGTGCTCAGGTGAGACCCCACCTGCAGAGCTGACCCAGCCCTGGGAAACACCAGCACAAGGACGTGGAGCTGCTGGAGCCGGCCCAGAGGAGGCCACGCAGCTGCTGCCAGGGCTGGAGCCCCTGTGCTCTGGAGGCAGCCTGGGAGAGCTGGGGCTGCTCCCCTGCACAAGTATTCAGGCTCCAGGGAGAGCTGAGAGCCCCTGGCAGGGCCTAAAGGGGCTCCAGGAGAGCTGCCCAGGGACTGGGGACAAGGCCTGCAGGGCCAGCACCCAGGCAATGGCTTCCCAGTGCCTTCCCAATATCCCAGGCAGGCCCAGCTGGGATATTGGGAAGGAATTCCTGGCTGTTCTGGCCCAGGTTGGACATAGCTTGGTGTGGTGTCCAACCCTTTAGGGGAATGGAGCATCCAAGATTTATTGTGGTCAAAAGGAGCAACCAAAGTCAGAGAGCTCCCAAAAGTTTCACAAGTTAAATGACACACTTGATATGGAAGTTAATGTTAATCTCTGACCTCCTCATATATGCTCATGGCAGTGGGTTTTGGATAAAGGGCTAGGATGACAGGGATGAAAGCAGGATTAAAGAGGGGGAGGGAGGAAGAAAGTGATCACCAGGATTGGCTCAAGTATTGATCCAGCTGGTGGAGTGTCTAGGGTCCCGGGGTGCCTGTACATATGGTCTTGGTGGGGGAACCTTTTTTGGATGAATTTCCCTGCCCTGAAGGTAACTTTCTCACATTCTATGCAAATTTATCATCTGCAGTTCATTCTTCTAGACCCTTCTGGAAATGGGTTGGAGGGCTTCAGGGGTGTCTGGTGGTCTTGATTTCCTGTACAGTCCTAGACTGCTTCTCAGCTTTATTCCTGTGCTGTGTTTGAGCCCAGAAACTAGAATGTTTGTCCCAGAAAAATGCTGCCTTTTCTCTGAATGGTGCCTTCTCCAATCACATTCTCTTCCGATTCACAGCTATGTTTTTACCAACAAACCTTGATGGTTGTTACCAACAATCCTTGGTTGGCTCCAGTTATCCAGCTATTGGTGTTTGAGGCATACAACAACCTCTTCTTTTATACTTGGGGCAACCAGATTTAATACATTAAACAGAGCAGCTAACAAGCAAGCTCTGAGTGATATCCGTGTGTTAAGAGAAAACAAACTGCTGGTGGAATTGCCTTGTCAAGGTTTAGGGCTTGATGTACTTCAATGATCTCAGACCTTGGGGGAGGTTAACAAAGCCTGGGAAGGAAGGATGTACCACTGATAGCGGGCACAGAGAATGCAGAGTTTACAGACCACAGGGACATCTGCTTGAACTTCGAAGATGAGGAAGAAACTAAAAAAGTGAACCCAGCATCCATGTTGAAATCAGCTCTAACAAGGTAAACAGTAATTCTGGCAGGGGGAATCTGCAACAACTGATCCAAGAAACCCCCTAACCCAAGAGAAGAGAAAGACTGGGCATGAGAAACAACAGAATCATTAACCAATAGAATACAAATAAATAAGAGAACTATGTAACACCTAGCCTGTGAATGCTAGTTCCTTTGTATGCTAAAATATATAAATGGTGAAGTGTTTTGATAGTTCTGGAATAACACTGAGCACCCAGGCTTGAAAAACCCTGCAATAAATAATCAATGTCTCTTGTGTGTGTCTAATTATTGGCTTATTGCACAACAGGTAAGGAATCGAATTTTTGCAGACAGCATTGTCACTGACCCACCCCTTTCCCTACCCATGATAGCGAGCCCCCCCCAGATTGGCACCCCCAGGATTAAATCAGTAGCTGTAGCAGGACAACTGTGATTAAGCAGCTGCATATTGTGGGTATTGTATGCTTGGCTGACATTTTTAAGGAAATTGAGATGATTCCAGGAGACATGGTCTGTTTGGATGAGAGCCACAAGGACTGAAGTCAGCAGGGCTGCAGAGTATCTTGGAGAAAAGTAATTTGGCACTGGAAGATTGTGGCCAGCATCTCATTGACACCAACTCAAAACAGATTAAAGGAGACGAGAGAGATCTAACTACCAAGGAAGAGCCTGAGTGGCAATTAATTGAAGTTGTAGTTAATAGAACGGTACTAAGTAACAGAGAAGTTATGCAATTTGTAACCAGTGAATGCAGACGCCTTCGGATGTTGAAATGTATAAAGAGTAACGTTTGGATGATGGGTATTCTAGACACCGAGCCAGCTGCTCTGTAGTAACTAGAAAAAGAGATAGAAATTCCAGGCCTCGGTGTGTGAAATGGTGCCGCACACCGAGGAATGAGCCCGCGGGGTAACAACACTGCTGTCCCTGGGTCTGTCCCTGTCTCTGCCTGTCCTTATCCCCGTCCTCTTCCGTGCCCCAGTCCCTACCTTTGTCCCTGTTCCTTCCCGTGCTCCTGCTGTTGTCCCTACCCGCGTCCCAGTCCCTCTTCCTTTTCATGCCCTTGTACTTGTCCCTGTTCCTTTCCGTACTCCTGCCCTTGTCGCTGTCCCTGCCTCAGTTCCTGTCCGGATATTCCTTCCCGTGTCCCGTCTCCGGTCCTCCCTCACTCCCCGCCCCTTCCGCCCGCTCAGGGCCATTTCAAGGGTACCTCCCGCAGCGGGCTTTTTTTCTAAAAGGCTCGCTGAGGTATTTTGTAATGATTTGTATTATTTTTATTGCATATTCTACATATTTGTGCGTAGACAGATGGATGGATAGATACACACACACACATACAAATCAGGGGCACTGGAAGCAGTTCCCGCGCGCCCCGCCCCCTGGGCGCGGCCTAGGCGCCAAAAGGGGCGTGAGGGGCCGCCGCCATTTTGTGTGCAGAGCGCGCGGCCGGCCGTCCT